TCTTCATAATTTGAGAGAAAAAAAGTCACACAAACAAAAAGAAGAAGATGAAAATTTTCCTTCAATTCGAAGAGAAAAAGAGAATAACAAAAAAAAAAGAATAAGAAAAACTTTGGATTAGAACTTTTCTTTTCGCCATCATTTTTCCTTCTTTTGTGTTCATATTTCAGAACAATAAGAAAACCAACCTGAAGCAACAAGTGAATAACAAGCTACCTCATTTTCGTACGAGTAGAAAATACCTTGATCATTTTCTATCATCATAATTATCATCATCATGAACAGGTAACTTGTGAAAAAGAAATGAAGAAAAGTCAATAGTAACGAGAGAGAGAGAGAGAAAGGCTTTTCCATTATTTCATTTTCTTCTCTCTCAAAAAAGGATAATAAAGAGAAGATAATTTCTGTCTTCTCGATTAACTGTATTTTCTTTGAAAAAAGAGACAGAAAGATGAGAGAGCAACACTCCAAACAATGTAGTCTCTCTCTCTCTCTCTCTCTCTCTCTCTCTCTCTCCGTGTCAATCTATGCTGATCATCTCTTTCTCTCTCATTTTGGTTTCTTTTCTTCATCTTTTATTGTTGCACAAAAAGATAATCACTTGAGGCTAATTTTCATTGAAAAAGTTAAACTAATTTTAAGGTAAAATGTTGATCATCCTTCATCTTCCGATGCGCAAAGTAGATTTCACGATTCACATAACTGCATCAATCTACACGCGATCTTCAATTCATCATCATCTTTTTGTTGTTGTCGTTTTTCATTCTCACTGGACGATGATGATGATGATGGGAAACATGAAAAGGAGACAGTTTATTTTACGAACATAACATAACAAAAAGAAGCGTAAAAAAGTTAATATTTTTATATTCTAAATAAGATTGATAACAACAATTGAATTGAGAATAGAACAAACAAAAAATAACTAATTCGAAGAGAAAGAGAAAAGTTACCTTTTTGTCTCTGTTTACATTTTCATCTTTCAGCATCATCATCATCTTCTCACTGCTTCCATCCTCATATCTGTCTGTCTCTCTCTCTCTCTCTCACTTATCATCCAAGTTCGTTTTTTTCGTCCAATTTATTTTCAATTTATCTTTGAAAATCTTTGTCATTCGTTGGAAAGACTTTGTAACGTTAAAACTTTTTCCATGATTTTTTGTTAAAAGTAAAGATGAAATTCTGAGTTTCTTTCTTAAATTTTCATTCTCTCTCGCTCTCTACCTCTCCCTCCCTCTCTCTCTCACTTATCTTCTTGAGCTCACTTTTTCTATATAGGTTTCATTTATACTTGATTCAGTATAGTGCCTTGTTATATAGGTTAAGTATTTTAGTAAAGTCAAACTTTGTTTTTTCGTGTGAGAGAGAGAGAGAATATGAATTGAATGATATTGAGTGAGCAAGACTCTGAATAGATGATGATGGGAGGGTGGAAGGGGAGAGAGAGAGAGAAACTAAGAAAGCATGATGAGAATACAATCTCTCTCTCTCTCTCTTTCTTTCTTTTTTCTGCTCTTGGACCAATGTTTCAATGTGCCGGTTTCAGAAGGATGAAAAAACAGAAATGTGGTTTGGATGCGTTTTTGCCATTCTCTCTCTCTTTCTCTCATCATCCTCATCTTTTTTTCATCTTCTTCTTGATTTCATGCATCTTGATGTGCTGATGCTCCAACACACTAAGAGCCTTGAGGTCACTTTGTTGTTTGTTATTTAGTTTTCTTCTTCTTCTCTGATATATGAAAGGGGGAGTTGAATGGGAGGCATGAGTTCAGAGTTATGATTATAAGGATGAAAGATGCTGAATTAAAATTCTGTGGGCATCATGAATTTTTCTTCTTTTTTTCTGCTCAGTCATGATCAGAGTTTTTGTTTATCTTTTCATACCTTTCCCATCCTCTTCTTTTCCATCATCATCATCATCATATCTTTTCATCATCTTAAATTCAAAACAAATACACAATTCATATCATTTGTTGGAATCAGAATTTTTTTTCTTTCTCCTTCTCAACAATCATAACTTTCACCAATTTTTTTATCATCATCTTAATCAATCATCATGCTAATCTTACCCTGCTAATTTTCATCATCTTGACACATTTTTTATTCATCTAGCACCAAACTAAGCATTACCTTACCTGACAGGTAAGGAACCAAACTAAAAATTGATTGACAAAAGTACAAAAAGTTGTAATCATATTGAACTAATTTTACTGATTGTTGTAATTTAATTGTTACAATTAACGCACACACAGAGGTAAATCAAAGTTGGGCATGCAAACAATTGACAGACACCGACAAGAGACAGAGAAATAAGAAGATAAAGACAGAGAGAAAGAGAGAGAAAAAAAAATTCTCTTTCATCGATCAATATTATTTACTATTATTACTATTGCATAATAATGATGTTAATAGTAAATATTGACTTGATAAAATCGAGCCGATAGATAATATTTACTGACCAGAGGGCGTGGTGATAGAGAGTAAATAGTTGACCCAATAATTTTTTAAAAAATTTTCGATAATTTTTTGGTCATTATCGTTTTCTTTTTCTCTATTTATTAATATTATTTACATGTAAATAATTAATTCTAATTTGATATTCTATTTATTTTGATCATTATTTTTTCATTCGAAAAGTTGCAAAAAAAAGCATCTTCATCACTCTCTCTCTCTCTCTCTTTCTTTCTTTCTCTCTCACTTGATACTCATCATTTTACACTCTTCCATCTCTCTCTCTCTCTTTATTTGGTTGTCTGTTGATTGATTGATCTTCTTCATCTTCTTCCTTGTTCCATTCATGGTTTCATATTCAGGTTAAAATATGGTTTCAGAATAGACGATCTAAATTTAAGAAGATGTTTAAAGCCTCAAGTTCAGGTCCCTCCGGGGTAAACAGCCAAGGGAATTCATCTTGTGATCTTGGTGGTGGTCTTGGTATCACTGGACTTGATGATAATGGTATCGGTGGGTCTTCAATGACCGATGATTGCGGTGGTGGTGATAATTCATCTTTGATACCACCACCTCATGGAAACACTTCAATATCTCAAGCATCAACAGCAACAACACCCACCTCACAGATTGAAATGCATGAAGGTGTCTCATCACCTTTAATGGGTAATAATTCAGTTGGTGGTGGTGGTGGTGGAGATGATTGTCCAAACAATATGATTAAAAATTGTCCATCACCAACCTTATCAAGTCCACCTTTGACCAATTGGAATATGGGTCAACATGCAATTCCAAAGCAAGAAACAATTCATAACGGTTACAATATGTCACAATATTCTTGGTATCCCCATGAATCAAACATCAATCCCCAACTATTAACATGATTTATCTGATTCACGATTAATGAAAACACAGAAGAAGAACAAAAATTATTCAATTATCTTAATTTACTCACAAAAATATCAAACAAGTTTATCATCCCTGTTATATATTCACATCATCATCATCATCACAATCTCGTCATCAAAATCTCAATGTTCAATTTTTACTCAGAAAACTGAATCAGAACTTTTTACGTTCCCCTCTCTCTCTCTCTCTCTCTTTGATTCAATTTCATTAATTTTATCTCTTCATCATGACTTTCACCAATCATCATTTACATACAATTATGATACAAATCAATCAACCACGCCCAATTTTATCCATTTACCTGAGATAACGTTTTTTACCTTAATCAGTTACAATTCAATTGAAATAATATCATGAAAATCATGTACAACGAATAACAAAAAGAAAACTGAATAAAAAATGAAACAAATTTTCATTTAATTTTCAATTTTAACTGAACAATTTCATCATGATTACAACAAACAATCAGTACATTTTAATTCAATATGATTTGTATTAACTTTTTTTCTTCATTCACTATTCAAATAATAATTAATTCTCAATTGGAAAAGTTAATAATTTCTCTTTTTCTCATCTGATTACAATTACTACTTTCTACCTTATTAACTGATTGTTATTGCAGTTTGAATAATCAAAAACCACTTAATCATCAGCAATTTAACATTCTCATTTTCCCTACATTTTGTCCTGTTACAACTTTCACCAAGTTAATCATGATTAATATCATGGCGAAATAATAATAATCATGATGAATATTGAAAAATTGAGTTACGATATTTTCCAATTTCTATTGATAATCTCAATTTTTATCAGATTTTCAATCAATCAAAACAAAAGCAAAAAAAATTAGAGGTTCATTCAAGTGAATCAGTTTGATGAAAGTTCTCGACTTTTTTTTTCATATTCATCATGTTCTTGTTTCATTATCATGTGTCTATTTGAAATTCTAATCTCAATGAATCTACCTGATTATCATGATCTTCTGTCGCTTATTTGTTTTTATTTTCCATCATTTTCTCTCAGATTATTATCTCTTTTTCTCATCTTTATCATGATGATCATCATGTTTACATGCGCTTGCTCACCAATGTTCAGATTCAACTGAACTGATAAAGTGAAGATGATGAACAAAAAAAACGAAACATGATAAAGGTAAAAAAGAGGCAGGGAGAAAGTGAGTGAATTTCATGATGATGACCAGGAGTAACCTTCATGGTATAGATCTGAGATGTTCATCATCATGATCATGGCTCTTTTTTTATAGATGGTTTCAAGTGATTTCTGGGAGTAAAGAGCAAAAAAAATGATGCTTAATCACTTTGGGTATTAAAATGTTAATCTAATCCGTTTGTGAACAAATTCCGATAACATGATGAATAATATCATGTAAAGAGAATATAAAAATTGGTTGAATCAGTTGATCGGATTAAGAACCATTATAATCTCATGATTTCAGTTTCATGATCAGTAATCATTTCAGGTTTCATGTTGAGAGATGAAACAAATAAGATAATAAAAGTGTGATTAAAGATCAAAGTGTTCATTGTATCAGATGAAAACAAAAAAGTTCTAATGAAAAAGTTTTATCGAATTTTTGATAATAATAGAAAAAAATTCTCTTCTTTTCCATAATTTTTCAGGTAAAAATTTGGCTTCAAAATAAACGTTCAAAATGCAAGAAACAAGCGAAAGCTATGAATGGCCCTCCAGGGCCAGTTAATGGTGCCCAGGGTGGTGGTGGTGGCGGTGGTAGAAATGGTAGAGGTCGAGGTGGTCAACAAGGTCAACAACAGCAAGGTCAAGCTCAACAACAAACTCTTTCAAATCAACAGCAATCACTTGATACTCAACAAGGAGCTGGTCTATCAGCTGGTTCACCTTTTATCCCTCAGCACTCACCCGAAGTACCAAATGAAAGCCATACACCGTTACATTCATCGTTAGGTTCAAATCCTGGAGGTGGTGGTGGCGGTGGAAACCCTAATGGTAATATAAATGGACCAATAGGTCCACTAGGAAATTCACTTGTTTCCTCAATAGTCTCATCATCTTCTTCCTCCTCATCATCATCTTCAGCCTCCGGTCCTGTATTGACTCGTTCACCGAATCTTCCGGTTTATCAACAAGAATCACCACTTAATACACCATCAAATCTTGCTCGAAGTTCACCTGGAACCATTCATTCATCACCATCGACACCTTCAAACACCGCCAATAATAATAACAATAATAATCCCAATTCATGGTCTTCAATGGGTCAGATAACACCTAAACAAGAGGTCGGTGTGGGCCTGGGTTCATCATCTTCATCTTCATCATCAACATCTTCCTTGGGAGGAACAGGCCCTGGGGGCATACCTTATCCACCTCCACCTCCAGCAATGTATAGCAATGGTTACATGAATACACCTTATTGGTATCATTCAGATCAACCAGTCAACAATACAATTTATTAATATCCCCTTCCAATTAATTGATTATACACAAGATGCGACAACAACAAACATCAACAAAAAACATCATCATCATCATCATTATACAAAACAATACAAAAAGCTTAGCTTATAACAAAATATCATCTTCATCTTCATCATCATCAACTAATTGATCCTAAGACATCAACACAACATCATCATCAACATCAACAACCTCATTCATCTTATCACAGTGTTAACATAAGTTGTCTGATTAACTATTAAAAATCATCTTCATCCTCATCCTCATCCTCATCCCTCATCATCTTCATCATTTACCTTAGAAACAGATGATAATATCTTTTAAATTGTAGGCTTGATTGTTTTGCTTGATAATCAGTGATAAAGACAATTTTTTTGCTTCTTCATTTCCTTAATCTTAATCTCTTCCAACTGGATAAAGAGAAGAGAGAGAGAGAGAGAGATTAATTCAAAAATCTAATTATATAACAAGCGATGCTGGAAAAATAAAACAAAACTTTTGCTGATGGAAAATTATAAAAAACGAGTTATTATCTTCATCATTTTTATCCTCATCACCATCATCATTATCCATTTTCATCAATGTTAATCTGCAAAAATGATAAAAAGTACACAATCAATGAAGACGAAGACGAAAAACAAAACCTCTCATCTAATCTTAATCTTTTTTTGAAGATAATCCCCTCAATCAACAACAGATTAATCCAAGATTATTTTTGACTTTTACAAACTCAACCAAAAGTTTACCTGTTCGCAATCCTGGAATCAGCAACAATTAACTTAATTGTCACAATCAAAAGTTTCAATGTTTTTCTCCAATAGTGAGAAAAAGAGATGATATCTAAAGAGAGACTGATTTAATTACATCGACAGCAATTGATAATCACAATCAAATTAAATCACAATCAGAAGAAAACATCAAACCTTAAATGTTAACAATTTATCAATTGTTTCAATCTAACAATTTAATTATATATTAATAAATAGTAAATAAGCCTCTCCCTCCCTCTCTCTCTCTCTCTCTGTTTATTGTATTTTGTTTCTTTCTCACCAACAATTAACTAATTAATTGGACAATTGCGATCTAATTAATGAATTCAGACAAATTAAAATAAACACAAAAATCATTGATCACAATTAACAAATTGTCTTGTCTTAATATTTATTGCAACGTGATTGTAACATCAACAATCAATTGGTGACAAAATCAAGAAATTTGATTGTGTCAACATGATTAGTAAACAAATCAATCAAAAGCAAGAAAGTTAATTAGTTAATTAATCAAAAATTCATAACTCTAATTAATCATATGAAGTAGGAAAAAAAAATGATCACAATGAATTTATAATTACCTGAGATAATTAATTGTAACAATTTAGATGTAATTTTGTTTCACTTTCAAAGTTAAGACATCAAGTGGGAAACAGAGTAACAATTAATTAATTATCCGAGTCTATTTAAATCAACAAAGGTACCAAATATAATTAGTTGAGTAAAAAAAAAGTCAACAACAATTAGCATAATTTATTCACAAATTGATTGTAATTAAAATCAAATCAACAACAACAACAACAGCAATTGAATAGTAACAATGTAAATGATGATGAAAACATTGATTTGAATGAGAGATTAACAAAATTAAATCTCATGAAAATAGTTAATCTGATTAGATGAGATAATCATTTTGATGATTTATTAATCATGAATGAATTAGATTCGCGCCCAACGATTAATTCAATTGTCATTTAGCTTTTTCTTTAAAATTAATGGTCGAAAAAAATTTAGTATTGATTTTATCGCAGGGCAGAGTTGATGATGATCATTATCCTCATCATCATCATCATCAACAACATGATAATAATGCTCATGTTATTGAACAATATGAAAAAAAGTTCATTTATAATGAGATGAGTTGAGAGCAAAAAAAAACTAATGATCCCCTGATAATGATCATTATTACATAAGGAAAATGCAGCGATACCTTTGAATTTTTCATCGGTTTCAACTCATTTATTGAATATAATCATGGCTCTATATCAGATTATCATTATTATCATGTAACTATCATGCTACTTGATTAAGAGAGAGAGAGAGAGAGAGAGAAACAATTCAAATCATTAGGTTGATTATTAATCATGAGAGACAATGGGCAAGGTTTAAGGGGGAATATCATATATTTTATAAGGAGAAGAGAATTTTTTTTTTGAAAGAAAAACCTTTTTACCGAACATTTTCAATTGGGAGCCTCAGAGTGAGTCTTTTTTATCTCTCTCTCTTCTTCTCTTTAGTGAGAGAGAAACAGGAAAGGTTGTGATGAAGATGAGGATGATAACATAGATGGAGAGAGAGTCTCTTGCAAATGCCTATGAAAATGGTTACACTCCCTTAATTTTAGAGTTGTACAAAATTGATGATATCTCCTAAAATTAAGGCTGCTCACAATTCACTTCTCACTCTCTATCTTCATCTTGAGCATCATCTTCATCATCATCTATTTCTCCAGGTAAAGTAACAACAACAACAACAACAATCCTCTAGGTCATAAAGGTAAGATAATCGTAGGAAAAGATGATGAGTAAAATACTTTCAGCCAATAATTGCTCATCCAGAATGTTCATCCATATAATCGTGCTTATAAAGTCAACTTTATCTTCATCTTTTATCATCTTCATCCTCATCTTTTTACCTTTTCTTCATCTTCTCTTCTTAATTTTCTTTCTCTCTCATTATTATGTTAGTCTCAGCTCTTTCTTTATCATTTTCTTTTCTTTCTTATTTTCCTCCTGCATTTTCAGGATAAAAAGGGAGTTAAAGAAAGGAAAAAAAGTAAGTGAGTGAGAAGATAAAACTCAGGTAAGAATGATGAGAGAGAGAGAGAGAGAGAGATGAGGATGAAGAGAAAATAGTATAAAAATAATATTTTTCTCTTTTTTTGTTATAAAAAAAGTAACTACAAAAGTGATGACCGGATGTTATATTTGAAGAATTGATAATTATCCCTGTTTATCCCAAGTTCCGGTTATCAAAAGATTTACCCTCTTATTTAAAAACATCATACGATTCAGTTGGGTGTCAACATGAAATATCGTTGATAAAATGACCATCGCCCTGAATATTAGGATAGTCAAGAAGAAAAAAATTTCGTATACAAAAATCCTAGAACTTCAATGAATCATTAGCAGGGAGTCAGTTAGAGTCTCAAACTGAATTCATCTCTGATGAACTGTCCACTATCATATTGATCTCATAATGGTCATTCATCATGACGGTGAATTCAATTGAAAACACTATGAATTTCAATATTATTCTGGAAAAAAACTAAAAATAATTCCATTGATAAAGTAACCATGCTGCTCTTTGATAGACTACAAAGAATTCGAATCAATTGAACACAATTAAGTCATTTTATAATCAGAATTCAATCAACTGATTGACCATTGTCCAGCAAGAAGCCCTCATACTAGTGATAAAGGAGAGAGAGAGAGAGAGAGTTTCATCCTTGTCATCATGATTTTCTGCTGAATTGAATTACCATTGAAATCGTAGTCACAAAATTGATTAAAATGTTAAGCATCTTGAAATCAGTTGAATGATCAATTTAAACTAATTGCGAGCACAAAAAGTTATCTTGTGAAAAAAGGTGATCATTAACAATATTATCTCATAATTATCATCATGATTATCATGTATTTAGACAAATAATATGAGCTGATGATGAAATGGAAAAGGTTTCACACCCTGAGGCCATGAATGAAACTCATGGAGTAATTTTTGTGTCTAGAAATGATTTTATTTTTTTTATTTTTCTTCATCTGAACAAAGTAAACACATTATCATGTATCTGATTTTGGATCATAAATATTATTATCATGGTCATGATTAAATAATAATAATGAATGATAATGAATGAACATGTAACTTAAAACAAGGTGAATGGTTTACCTGATATGGAAACGTGAAGATGGGTGAGTATTCAGGCCTCTTCGCCATCGACTGAATCAAAATTCTGGAAGATAAGAAGCCAGACAAATGATGCATGATCCACGATGATCATTCTCTATCATCATCATCATCATCTTTTCATCTTCATCATCATTTTTCTCTCTCATTCTTTTCATATGTTAAAATCCTAATGACTTTTTTCACGGCCCAAAGATTCAAAGGTAAGATAACAACAAGAATCATCATCATCTCTCACCAATGCATCATAATTATCATCATCATCATCATCTTCATCTTCATCATCCTTATTTATCATCTCTCTCTCTCTCTCTCTCTCTCTCTGATTATCAAAATCATTTCATCATTCACCTTGTCACCCATATTGAAAAAGTTAATTGCTACCTGATTGTTAATCAAATCAGAGATTTTGTTTTTTTTCCTCTCCAAAACAATTGATTGTGATACTTTGATAATTGTAACAATTAACTAGAAATCGTATTAACAATCAATGAGAGGTGAAAGTAATGTTATTGATTGATTACAATGATGAAATAATAATTAAATTGGCCGATAGTTAATTAACTTGTTCCAAGTGTTAATTGAATTGGAAGGTTGAGAAAAAAAAGTAAATTGTATTTTGTTTTTTTCTCAAAGAAAAAAAAACTAAACGAACTCGCAAAAAAAACTAATTAATTATCAATAAGATTTTCTAATCATGATGATGATTAAGATGATGATGAGGATGATGAAAAGGTAACATGAGATGATGGAAGGAGGTGTAAGCTACCTACAGGATGAGGATGATGAAGTTGATGATGATAATGATGAAAAAGTAAACAAAGATCATCCCTAATTTAACACCTTAGCTTAATTTTTAATTATAAATCATGAGCTTTAAACGATAATTAAAGAGCTCCAACTAATCATAATGGTTAATTATCATCATCATAATGATAACAATGAATAGTAAATATTTATAATGAAAATTTGATTAACTTTCTGATGAATTAATTAGATGGATTAGAAAAGTTTGTTTATCATTAATCAGCTGATTGATCATTTTGTTGATTTAATTTTTCAACTTTTTCTTTATTAATAAAATTATCAGTTGTTAATCTTAATTGAGATCATCTATTGATTAGTGGATTAAGTGATTAAATTGATTTGATGAGTTAATTGTTGGATGATTGTTAGCTCAATGGTTTGGAATTGATTTTTTTTTTGGTTCATTGTTGCTGATTGTTGGGATTACAATTGGGAATTGTTGTTGATCAATTGGTTAACTATTTTGATTTGTTTACATAAAAAACAAAGTTAATTGTGATTATGAATACACCACAGGGTGATAATGAGATTGAACAATTAACTGATTGGTTCAATTAATTGATTTTCTGTTGTTCAGTGTTAACGTTTTCATTTCATTTCTCTATGATTTCATTCATCATAATTATCGTTGATGTTGAATTTTTTTTCTCTCTCTCTTTCTCTTTGAGATAATTGATTAATTGAATTAAAATGATAATTGGAATCACAATTAACTTTATTGGCCCATTTTACCCTCCCTGAAATATTGGGATTCATTATAATCATTTATCTTGATGATGAAGATGAGAAATGATTGTGACGTTAATTGTTAGCTTGAGATGATTTTCTGTTTATTTATGTTACTTTTTCATTGCTTTTTGTATTTCTGATTGTTGACAAACAATATTTGATTGATTTTAGTGATTGTTATGAGAGAGAAAGAGAAACAAGATGATGATGATGAAGATGAAGATGAAGATAAGAATGAGAGTAAAGGTGCTGATGGTAAATAGAGTTTATCTTCACAGAGAGAGTTTTTTTCCTCTGTCTTAACACAAATACACTATCAGTTGTGAAGATGATGGTGATTAAGATGATAACAATGATGAAGATGAAGATTAGCAACAAACAGAAGTCTCACCATTAGAGAGAGAGAGAGAGAGAGAGAGAGAGAGAGAGATGATAATGATGACAGAGAAAAAGTAAAATCTATGGAATTTGAAAGAAAAAATTTTCGACTTTTTTTCTTACCTGTTACCTGGT